GGTCGCTGCGTGAGCACAAAGAAATCCATTCAATTGCCATTGGTAACATGAGCAAGTTCTATTCAAGAGGTCAATGCTAACCGATGGCCGAGATTGAACCTCAAAAACATGATCACTTGAACGACTAACCAACCAAGTTCTTCCACTTTTAAGAGCATTTACTAATGTTAAATCCATCTCCGGACAAAGAAAAGTATTCAATTTCTTAGCTTGTTCTCTCCTTCTTGACATCAAATCCATGATCTTCAACTTAATTGAATCAATTGTCTTCGTAGTGGGCAAATGTCGAGCTTGATGAATCCATGAATTGAAAGAATCCGCCACATTCGAGTGCATTTCACCGTATTTTTGTTCTTTAAAATATGCATTAGTCCACTTGTCATAGGGCAAATTGGATAGAAACCTATAAACGATCCTTTTTCCCTCATCTTGTAATTCTTTCAAGCACTGATTAAAACATCCCACTGTCGGAGCATAAGCACATGAAGAAAACAAAAAAACTATTCTACTCTTGAAAGTATTACTGAAACTTGGACCAGAGAACCTATCCCTCAAATTGGCCTTCAAGTGTTGGAGACAAAAATAGTGATAAGTGGTAGGTAAAACCTTGGGTAAAGCCTCCAAAAGTCCATCTTTCCGATTAGATATGAAGGTAATTGGTCTTTCATTCAACAATATATTCGACAAATGCGTAAAAAACCATTCCCAACTGTCTGTAGTCTCCGTATCGACAATTGCCATTGCAAGAGGGGAAAAACCTGAAAAATAACATTTTACAATTAGTAAGTATATTAAACGAAAAGGACAAATATAGTAGATTTTTACTCTGAATAACAGTAACATGTTAATCTGAGAATAAGTAACTTGTTACTTTTGAATAAACTATAGTAATATCTACCTCGATCCCCATCCTTCGCTGTAGTTGTTAACAAGGTGCCCTTATATTTCCCCTTCAGAAAAGTTCCATCAATAAACAATAGAGGACGGCAATGCCTAAACCCTTGAATGGAAGCATTAAATGCAACAAAAAACCTCTTGAACTGTCCACATTGATGGTTATAGTTAAGACGCAAATAACGACTAGGATTTGTGCTCATCACAATATCCATATACCATTGAATCTCATCATAAGACATAGAGAAATCTCCAAAAGTAGTAGTCCTAGCTTTCTCAACTCCCAACCAAGTGTGATTGTATGTAATGGTGAGCCCGTATTGATCTGTAAATTGGCGCACAACATCAATTTGACGAGTTTGGGGATTTCCACGAACTTCATTAACAATCAAACTTGCAACCAAATTTGAACTCATCCTTGAGTTTTTAGAAGTACGAGCTGCAGCTCCACAAGTATGCTCATCATGTAGAGTCCTAATGTAGAAAAAATTATTAGCACTTTCTAGAGATGCATGTACTCGCCATAAACAAGCTTTCGACTCCCGCATTGAACACACAGCAATGACCCGACACTTCTCATTCTTCACATACACAAACTCAAATCCTATCTCAATGGCATATTTACATAATGCAGTTCGGAAATCCTTTGCACCTCCAATAAATCTTTGACCTACATGAGTAATTCCATTCACCCATCCACAAGACAACAAAGTCCTTTCTTCATGTTGACAAAACATAGGGAGTAAATCAATTTCATCATCAGTAATGTTGGATCCAGTAGCGTCCCCTGATTCTCCAACTCTATGTTTTTCATTTGAAATGCCCATTTCAGTAATAGTCACATCAACCCGGTCAACACCAAGGGGATAAACAGGCGACAACATATTCTGAAAATCAGAATCATCATCAATCATGCATTGCGAATGTCCAGGCAAACAGTACGATAACAGTATGCAACCACTATTGTCAAACTTCTTCAATTTAAAACTTAAGAAATCAGTTAAATCCTTCAACGTGCAATTTGACACAACCTTGAACACATTGGTACGATCACCATACTTGCAAACAACATAAGAGGTGGAACCATTTTACAAATCTGCAATCAATTAATAGTAAAATTTTACTGTCACTATCAAAGTATAATTTTACTATCACTATCAAAGTAAAATTTTACTGTCACTACAATTCGTGTTTAGCTTGAATTGATAAAATTTTACTATGGTTTAGTGTAACATTGTACTATATTTTAGAGTTAATTTTTACTATTTAGTTTGCCAAAGATTGACAACTCATACAGTGTGTTACCAACACAACTAGAAACATGAATCTAAAAGTAAAATTTTACTCTGCATAAAAGTAAAATTTTACTCTAATATAGGAGTAAAATGTTACAAAAGAAATCTAAAAGTAAAATTTTACTCTGAAAATTTTACTCTAAATCTAAGAGTAAAATGTTATGCCTTGAATTTAAAAGTAAAATTTTACTCTGTATAAAAGTAAAATTTTATTCTGAAAAACGAGTAAAATGTTAGACTCTGAATATACAAGTAAAATGTTACTCCGCACAAAAGTAAAATTTTTGCAGACAATGAACTTGTTTGGTGCAACTTTTTTGCTAGTTAAAAATTGATAACTAAAACGCATAAGCTAAAAGAACATATCTCCCCTATATTCTCAATAATCAAAATTTTACTGTCATTCTAACACCAGAGTAAAATTTTACTCTCATTATAAACAGAGCAATAGAATCAGAGTAAAATTTCACTCTCATTCTCTGAAACAAAAGATAGAGCAATCGAACCAGAGTTAAATTTTACTCTCATTCTCTGAAACAAAAGACACAGAAATAGAACCAGAGTAAAATTTTACTCTGATTCTGTCAGACGAAATCAAATCAAACACAACAAAAATAAATCAAAAACAAAAAAAAAACAAACAAACAAAAACAAAAAAAATTAATTAACAAATCAACATACCTAATTGAGAAGAAAAACCTCTACAACTCGATCAACAATCACAAATCTCAATGAAACTCTCGTTTAATTGAGAGTGTTGATCATCGGCCAGCAAGTGAGAGATGTTCGGCTGCGAGATCGTCTATTGTTGAACAAGTGAGAGATGTTCGGCTGCGAGATCTTCAGATTTGGAGATCGTCTTCATCGATTTTGTGAAGTATGATCGATTTGGAGATCGTCTTCATCGACTTCATCGGCTGCGAGATCTTTAGCTCAAATTTCAAAATTTTCAAACGTATGATACTATACATATAAGGGCAATATTGTGATAAAAAAAAATAGAAATTATAAAACGTCTTTATTATGGTAGGCATTTCCTACTGAGGGGCTTTTTGAAAGAAAATTGATTGGGTTATCCTTTACCCTAGTAAAAAGGCCCAAAAATGAGGTTTCACCAAAAATTCCTTGTTGTAGAGCGACTTGATTCACAACCTCCACTTGATTGGCCCAAAAGGAAGTGAATTGCATTGGGATCCGCAAGAGGCCTTGCATATTTGCACGACCATTGCGACCCAAAGATAATTCATTTTGATGTCAAAGCTGCAAATATATTGTTGAATGAGGAATATGAAGTAGCTGTTGGAGACTTTGGGTTAGCGAAACTTATGGATTACAAGGATACAAATATTACCACTGCTGTATGTGGCAGAATTGGGCATATTGCTCCCGAGTACCTCTCCACTGGAAAGTCTTCAGAGAAAACTAATGTTTTTGGGTATGGAGTCATGCTTCTGGAGCTCATCACTGGACAAAGGGCTTTTGATCTTGCTTGACTTGCCAATGACGACGACGTTATGTTGCTTGATTAGGTAAGCATTTATTTCTCTCATATGATCTGTTTTCATTACGTATCTAGGGTACTTGAGTTGGCTATTTTCATACCATTCTTTGAGTTCATCTTAAAAGCCCTTCTGTAAAAAATCTGCTTTTAATTTGCTGGCTATAAGGTTTGTCAGAAGCACATGAATGGAATTATTATTATGTTGCTTATATAATTCAAAATGAGTCGAGTAATGTTCATGATGGTATACAAAAAAAAAAAAAAAAAAAAAAAAAGTCTCACTCAATGCATTTAAACTAAAGTCCACTCAACAATTACATTGAAGAAATTTGTCATTATCGTGATTTGCTAATTTTTACAGTATCACAATCTTAAATGACCATCATGTTTTCAAATGCTAGGAAACTTAGAATTTAGTCATCTTTTAATTTATAGTATTGAACCTTGAAAAGAAAAATACACCATAATACTATATGAGGCTCAGTCTTTACCTTGGACACCATAAATTCTATATTGAAATTTTAGGATTGAAGTTTTCACACATTTCAATTTGGACAAAGAAAAGGAAATTTTGAATCAAAATTGAAAATCATAAGCCACCTTTGTCTCTCCGTTTCATTTTTATTATCAGTTTTCAAATGTTCGATTTTGTGATATTTTCTATTACTATTATGCCACTTTCTCTAATTTGGAAAGTAGTTGATAGACGGTGCTCTTCCTTATTAATGAGATCATTTCATAACCTATCATATGACATTTGTGATTCAAAATACCCAAACAATTCAAGTGAAAGGACTTCTGAAAGACAAGAAGGTGGAAACACTAGTCGATGCAGATATGCAGGGAAACTATGTTGAAGATGAGGAGGAGCAACTTATCCAGGTGGCTCTGCTCTGCACACTGAGCTCCCCAATGGAACGTCCCAAGATGTCGGAAGTTGTCAGAATGCTCGAAGGTGATGGGTTGGCAGAGAGGTAAGAAGAGTGGCAGAAGGAAGAGATGTTTCGGCAAGAGTTCGTCAATATCCACCACCAAAATAACGATTGGATCATTGCCCAAGTCAACAACCTTCCTGACGCCACTCCCAACCTCCCTCCAGAAGAATTGTCCGGTCCCAAATGATCTTTTAAATGGATTTTGTTTTCGGCATATAGAGAAGTCTCTTGGAGTCCCACTCTTTATTCAAATGTGATATATACGATCTGTGTATATGATTTCTCCTCTTTAGTTTTTTTTTTACCTCGGTTTATATGACGATGATTATGAATTTTTAGGTATAAGCAAAAACATGATTGGAAAGGCTATGTTATGTGTCCAATTAGTATATATTTTATACACCAATAAATACATTTTTTTTTAGTCTGAAAGCAAATTATAACACTTGAGCATTTGTGATTACTGATTATAACTTTGTTAAGCGTTTGGGATCTCTGAATATAGCTTGGAAGATTGAAAGCAAAGGGACATCTCTAAAATTCGATGTACTTCTTCAAGTGTGGGACACATCTCATGTTTACCGAATCTAAGAATACGAATGAGATAAAAAAATGCTCTGCCGAGGCTTAACTGAATTTACCAATGGAACGATTTTGCAAATATATTGCCGGTCAATACCAAAAAAAAAAAGATTTTTTAAAAAATTGAATATCCACATAGAAGATGTAAACACTGTTTGTTACAGCTTTTGGGGGGTAATTATTGCTTATTTTGATTTGGGAGTCTGTGTCAGACTGTTCGGTGCAGCTTCTACCTATAGCTTATTAGGCATAAGTAGCTTAAATAAATTGAAAAAATCTGATTATTTGAAAGCTGGGGTAGGGGTGCTTTTAGTTTCTGCTTTCTGATTATCAGCTTTTAACTTAAAAAAAGCTCCACCAAACAGGGCCGTAGCCATTGTTGCAAAAAGGGTATTTCATCTCTCCCTCCCTTCTCTCTCATGTTGACGAAATAACACACTTCATCCATCTTATGCCTACATTTTTTAACAGTATAGTTGACATGGGGTTCTCTATACCTAAATTCTTTTGAGCACATTTGTTATGATAGAATAGGTTGAAATGAAACGCTCATTTTAACTTTGCATTTTCTTTCTCTTGTTTTGGTATATCTTATTTAAGTGAAAATAATTTAAATGACTATTCTAACAAAATGTGATAATGCCTAATCCTTACACCAACTCATTTATTTCTTCTGAAACAGTCGCATTCATTGACATCTTTGGGACAAGGCTTTAGTTAAGCTCTAACTTTCTTTCCCCCAATAGAATGTAAGGAAGTTCGTTTCTGAAATGTTTTTTTTAAAAAAAAATTCAAGAAATAAAAATAAAACTATTACTAGAAATTTTTAATAGGAAAATACCAATCAAGGAGTAGAGTAGAGAACGAAGATTGAGAGAGACATTGCTTTAGTTTAGTTTGTTTAGACACTGCTTTAGTATGTTTAGTTTGATTTTTCAAAAACGGTTTTGTGACACCCTATTTGGTTTCAATTATCTGAATTTTAATTTTTTGAAAATTAAGGTTTTTATTTTTCGTATTTTTTTTATTTTTAGTGAATTTTTTAATAATTAATTAATTAATTTTTTTAGATGCACCTAATCTAGATGTACTTAAAAAGTAAAATATTTGTAAAACCAAATCAAACCAAACCATACCAAACCAAGCTTTAAGTCTCGTTAAATGGGGTCGACTACATGAATCTTTTTTTTCCACTCGACTCTATCCATGGCTATTTCGTTAGTCAAATTAAGGAGATTCTTATATCTATTTACTTAACTAGTCCACATCAATCTAGGTCTACCCTTTCCCCTAACACTACCATCTGCCGTCATTGTATCGCATTTTTTCACTACTACCTCTGTTGGTCTCCATTGTATATGACCAAACCGTCTCAATCTATTCTCTCTCAACTTATCTTCTATCGGTACTACTCCAACCCATTCTCGAATATATTCATTTCTAACTCTGTTTTTTCTAATCTTGCCACACATCCATCTTAGCATCCTCATCTCAGCAATACTCATCTTCTCTACATGTTGTTTCTTATTTGCCTAACATTTCATCCCATACAACATCGCTGGTCTAATAGCTGTTCTATAGAACTTCTCTTTTAGTCTAAT